ACTGGACGTAGCCCTGGTATTAGGTGAACCAGTATAAATTACCGGTGAAATCTTTCTTAACCTTTCTCTCTTTAAATTCAGTTGATGCGCTTATTTTGATTGATTGCTTTGTGATGCAAGAATAGATTAGTAAACTTAATTTTGGAATTAGATAATCTGTTATTCGCAAAAAACTTTCAAAGATCAATTCACCCCCCCTCTTGATCTAAAACTACTTTTCTAACACCTCCATCACTAATGATTGCTCTAGGCACCCCAAATCTAGAAAATATGTGTTTCTTAACGAAAGAAATCACCACTTTGGCATCATTTGATGGAAATGCCCTACCCTCGACCCACTTAGAAACATAATCCACTGTAACTAAAATGTATTGGTTTGAAAAAGACAAAGGAAATGGCCCCATAAAATCAATACCCCACACATCAAAAATTTCAACTTCCAAAATAGTATTTAAAGGCATCTCATCTCTTTGTGAAATATTTCCTACCCTTTGACATTTATCACACTTCTCAATAAAACTACGGGCATCCTTAAAAAGAGTAGGCCAGTAAAATCCACTTTGTAAAATTTTAGAAGTTGTTTTCTGAACACTAAAATGCCCCCCATAATCTGATCCATGACAATGCCAAAGGATACTTTCAAATTCATTTTCAGGAACACATCTCCTTATGATACCATCACCACATCTCTTAAACAGCAAGGGATCATCCCAAAAATAAAATTTAACATCATGCAAGAATTTTTTTCTCTGCTGAAAGGTTAAGTCGTATGGGATTATACTTGCCGCTTTAAAATTAGCAAAGTCTCGCAAACCATGGCAAAGAAGTAATGGCTAGCAGCTTCTCATCCGGAAACTCCTCCGAAATAGGTTGTACATCCCGATCATCCTTCATTCTGGAAAGGTGGTCAGATATCAAATTTTGCTTCCCTTGCTTATCTCAGATTTCCAAATCAAATTCTTGTAACAAGAGAATCCAACGGATTAATCGTGGCTTGGCATCCTGCTTAGCAAACAAATATCTCAAAGCAGCGTGATCAGTGTAAACAATAACCTTAGACCCAATAAGATAGGATCTAAATTTATCACAAGCAAACACTATAGCAAGCAATTCTTTTTCAGTCGTGGCATAATTCTTTTGAGCTTCATTCAACACACGACTGGCATAATTAATGACATGAAACACTTTTTCTTTTCTTTGTCCCAATACAGCACCCACAGCATAATCACTAGCATCACACATAAGCTCAAATGGTAAAGACCAATTAGGTGCAGTAATTATAGGAGCAGAGACAAGTTGATTCTTTAAGGTTATTGTCGTCGCCGTCAAAACGAGGCGGTCGGAGCAACGCGATGGTTTTTTCGACCCTCTTTGATTTTCGCGTTTTTTTATGGGTGGGTGCAACGTCCTTAGGTTGTCCGATAACCGGGCTAACCTAGAGACGAGGTTTTCGAAAAGTGTTCTTGGGTTGTTCGATGACCGGGCTAACCCAAGAACGGGTTTTGAAGGGTTCGTGGAGTCGTCACCGATGTTTTTACCGGAAACATCGGAAAAGGAGTTTTAAAAAGGCGTTGGTTTTCGAAAAACCAACTTTGGTCATTTGAACCAGAGTTGGGTAAGGGAGTTAGTTACGTGTAAAGGAAGTATTAGTTCCTTTACGACGCCCCTTTCGGGTTCCCTATGATAGGCTGGCTACTTTGGATAAATAATTAAACTGGAAAATTGCGCTTTTACCCTTTTATTATGCGGTATTCAAATTTGTGACTACATGGCCCTACCTTCTATGCGTAATTTTAAATAAAAGCGGTAAAATTAAAAAGAGAGAGGATGCACCTCCAAAGCAAGCTTTTTATTTTTCTTCAAAGAGTGGGTGCTTTTTGGCAACCCTTCACTCTACAACTCTCAGAAACTCCGGAAATGCCTCGGAGGGATTCTAAAGAAGATTTAGAACGCTCAATTTATGCCTAGAGACACTCAGAAACTCTGGAAATGCTTCGGAGGGATTCTAGAGAGAGAATATCTAGAGAGAAGGAGGAGCTACTGTGCTTGGTGTGTGGAAATGAGGGGAGGGAGCCCCTATTTATAGGTTTTCATGCCTGACAGTGGCGAGACCGCCGGTCTTATCTGACAAGGTCGAGACCGCCGTCTGGACAATCTAGACCGCCGTCTCGACCATGCAGGGGGTCGAGACCGCCGTCTGGAAAACCCAGACCGCCGTCTCGACCTTTGCAGTGGCGGGACCGCCATCTGGACAAGCGAGACGGCGGTCTCGTCCCTGGCGTGAGGTGAGACGGCAGTCTGGTCTTTCCAGACGGCAGTCTCGTCCCTCCAGGCGCGAGAACTTTATTTTTCGGGCCAAAAAACCCTCCTATCTTAGTACGGGGGCCTAATAGTCTCTCCTAGGCTTGTTAGGCTTCGGCCGTCTTCAAATAGGAAGCTTTCTGGCTTTATTTGGAGGCGGGGCAGGATTTGGGGTCTACAGTTGCCCCCCTTTACCCAACCAGTCGACTGCTGGCCTTTTGTGCCGAGGTGATCGACTGGAGGGTAAAGGAGTTGACCCTCTTGCCCGGTTACCCTTCAGATATTCCGTCTTTGCGGCGGATGATCTTCTGGGGAAATGTTGTGTTGTGCGCTTCTGGGATGCTCCTTCGACGCGGTAGCTGACCCCTTCGGCTGATGAGTACGAACCCCCATCTGGTTTGACGAGTACGAACCCCCACCCGGTAAGCCCCCTTTTGTAAGACCTGATGAGTTTACACCCCCATCTGGTGTTTGACGAGTATGAACCCCCGCTCGGTAAGCCCCCTTTTGTAAGGCTTGATGAGTTTACACCCCCATCTGGTGTTAAGACTCCGGGTGCTCCATCTTGCGGTAGCTGATCCTTTGGTTGACGAGTACGAACCCTCGTTTGGTTTTGATGCCTCTGGATGCCCCTTCTTGCGGTGGTTGATCCTTTGGCAATGGTGGCGGCTTACTGATTCTGACCATGCGCCGGCGACTGGGGAGTGATGTTGGTAGATGCTCTTGGATTTCTTGGATGGTCGTCCAGGCTGCTCCTGGGGACTTTGTTGTTTGTCCATCCAGCTTTGTTGGTTGCTGGGGATTCTTTGTTTTTTGGTGGTAGTTATCCGACTCTTGCTGGCTGGTCGGGTTTTTCTCTTCTCTTTTTTGTGTTCGACTCTTGGTAGTCGATGATGGCTTAATCCTGCCTTTTTCTCGCGGTTTTATCACTTTTTTTCTCGCGATTTTGGATTTTGGCTTTTTTCTTGAGCGTATGCCTTTTCTCTTTTAAGTTATTTTTTGTTACGCTGACTTTTGTAAAAGAAGGCAAAGAATGCATGGAATGAAATTTTATTCATGGAAAATTTTATTACAACAACTTTTATTTAGGTAAATGCGGTCCCTAAGGGCTATCATCAGGGGAATCGGGGTAAGGGTACTATTTGTACACGTGATATCGGAAGTCTACTTGCTCTTGGACTTCGTCACGGTAAACCTCCTGGAATGTCGTCCATTCCTGCCGCAACCTCTGCTGCTCCTGGTAGATCTCGTCCTGGCGGGCTTGATAGGCCTGCTGGCGAGCGTCGTGGTCCTGTTGCCACTGGGTCTGCTGCTCTCGCCACACTGCTATTTGGCTGAACTCCTGGCTCAGATCATTCATGTGTTGGTGCATGCCAGCAAAGTCCTCTGTGTAGGGCGGTGGCTGTTGCTGCTGGGAGCAGGGAGACGTGGGCATATCCTGCATCGCCACTAGCCCCTGGAGATCCAGCTCGAAGTCCAGGGAGGGGTGCAGGGCGAACTGGTTTCCCCGACGTATCAGCATTCCCATGCTGACCAGCATTGGCCCATTGATGGGCTCGGGTCGGAGGTTGCGGGCCAGCTCTTCCCGGCCCGGGCACCCCATTCTCTCTGCTAGAGGGGTGATGAGGGGAGCTACGAGGATGGCCCCCGTGGATCTACTCCCAAAGTCTTTAAGGGCCCTCAAGAGGAAGTATCCGGGGTTGCAGTGCCGTCTCTGGTGCATGCAATAGAGGGCAAAGAGATCAAGGAGGGATATCTTACCCTGGCTTTCCTTCCTCCCATGGATTGTACCTGCCAGCAGCTTGTGGCAAATACGGAGCACCGGTTGCAGTGCGGAGCCTCTCATTAAAGTGGGCAGTGTGGTTGCTCCTGTGAGATCATGCCACATATCCGCGGAGGTGAGATGGGCAGGCCGAGAGCAGATGGCCTCTCGGTATTCCCGGGTCAGCGCCTCCTCGGGCCGGATGATCCAATGGACACATTGAATTCTTCCAGGGTGGTGGTGTGGTATTGCCCACCCATGAAATAGTTGACCATCTTGGTGGGCTGCATGCCTGAGGCCATGGAGGGGATCTCGATGAGGGAGACAGAGGCCAAGAACTCTTGTACCGCTTGGGGGTACACATATGTGGGTGGGGGTTGTAGCAGAAAGCCCCATCCAATGCTGTCGATGTGGGCTCTTACGTCCTCCTCCCACCCAAACTCGGCTAGGACGCCGAAGTCTAGTGTCAGCATGGAGTGCCACTGGTAGTTCCTAATGTTGTCCAGGCGGGCCTGGTGCTGTGGTGACAACTGAGAAGGATCTGGGGGTGGCGGTGGTGTCGAGCTGCTAGCACCAGCGGTGCCCCTTCTCTTCCTGGAGGCACTTCTGCTGAACATTTTAAGCAAGGAAGGCTTGGAGTAGTAGAAATGTGAGTTCTGGAGGCTCTGGAGGCTTAGGAGGCAAGGAGAGTTGTGAGGAAACCCATCCAGGCGCGCCCCCTTATATAGGGAAATTTTCAGATCGAGACCGCCGTCTGGGAAGTCGAGACGGCGGTCTCGGTTGGTTTGCTAGTCGAGACGGCGGTCTGGAGATTCTAGACGGCGGTCTCGATTTTGCCTGAGTCGAGACGGCGGTCTGGAGATTCCAGACGGCGGTCTCGTATATAGGGAAATTTTCGTGACGAGACCGCCGCCTGGGAAGTCGGTGACTACGGTTCATGGTTGCTAGTCGAGACGGCGACCGAGATTCTAGACGCTGCCTCGATTTGCCTGAGTCGACGGCGGCCTGAGATTCGATGCTGTTCCGACTTTGCATAAACGACGGGCGACTGTTTAAGACGGGTTCCTGACAGGTGGGAATCAGACGGCGTCCGGAATGTCCAGATTTACGGTCTCAATTTCTCTGGTTTTTTTTTTGTTCAGAGATAGGACCTGGTTC